GCAAAAGCGCGCCACGCTCAGGTCCGTCCGGCACGTCGTGCGCAAGTCGCTCGACGCGCGGCACCGGCTGCCGGAGCCGCGGTGGGTGTACGTCGTCGACGCCGAAGTCGACGGCGACCTCGCGGAGAGCTCGGGCCGCTGCGAGGCCCTGCTGCGCCCGGCGAGTAGCGCGCCGCCCGCCGTCGCGAGCCTCGCGAAGAAGCGCCGCGCCGTCGTCGTGGGCTGCGGCCCCGCGGGCTTGTTCGCGGCGTTGCAGCTCCGCGGCGACGGCTTCGACGTGACGGTCCTGGAGCGGGGCGAGCCCGTCGAGGTGCGCGGCCGCGACATCGGGCGGCTCATGGCGCGGCGGAGCCTGGTGGAGGAGAGCAACTTCTGCTTCGGCGAGGGCGGCGCGGGCACGTGGTCCGACGGGAAACTGACGACGAGAATCGGCAGGAACGCCAAAGACGTCCGCGCGGTCTTGCGGACGCTGGTCTTCCACGGCGCGCCGCGGGAGATCCTGAGCCAGGGGTCGCCCCACCTCGGCACCGACGGCTTGATCGGCATCCTCAAGTCGCTGCGGAAGCGCCTGCTCGAGGCCGGCGTCGACGTCCGTTTCGGCGCGCGCTCGACGGGTTCCTCAAGGACGGCGACCGCTGCGTCGGCGTCTCCGTCGTCGAGGGCGGGAAGAGCTTACAATTTGACGCCGACGCCGTCGTCGTGGCCAGCGGCCACAGCGCCGAGGACGTCTACGACGCGCTGGGCGAGGCCGGCGCGGCTCTCGAAGCGAAGCCCATCGCCGTCGGGTTCCGCGTGGAGCACCCGCAGGCGCTCATCAACCGCATCGCCTACAAGGACCTCGGCGGCCGCGTGACCACGGGCAACAAGCGCACGGACCGCCTGAACGCGGAGACCTGCGGCGCGGCCGAGGGGCCCCGACTTCCCGTCGCGGCCTACCGGTTGGCGGCCGACGACGTCGAGGGGAAAGGCCGCGGCTGCTATTCCTTCTGCATGTGCCCGGGCGGGCAGATCGTGCCCGCGCTCACGCGGCCGGACCTCATGGTCGTCAACGGCATGTCCTACAGCCGGCGGCACTCGGTGTTCGCGAATTCGGCCATCGTCGCGACGGTGTCCGCGGACGACCCCGTGCTCGAGCCGTTCGCGAAGCACGGCGCGCGGCGCGTCCTCGAGTTCCAGCGGTCCCTCGAGCGGGCGGCGGCGGCGCTCGGCGGCGGCGACTTCGTGTGCCCCGTGCAGCGGCTGCCGGACTTCGTCGACGGGCGGACTCCGAAGGCGGGTTCACAACCGCCGGCGTCGTCG